CAGGAGTTCTTTTTTTATTTAAAAAAAAAAAAAAAAATTTTTTTTTTTTTTAAATGTTTGTTTTTGTAGGAGAGAGAGAGACAGAGCGTGAGCCGGGGAGGGGCAGAGAGAGAGGGAGACACAGAATCCAAAGCAGGCCCCAGGCTCCAAGCCGTCAGCACAGAGCCTGATGGCAGGGCTCGAACCCACGAACCGTGAAATCATAACCTGATCCGAACTTGGACACTTAACCAACTGAGCCACCCAGGTGCCCAAAGGAATAGGAGTTCTTGAATTTCTTCCCACAGCCAAAATGTTTCCCCCTGCTTGTTATTGTCCTGTGATATTCATTTAACGGTCAATTCTCTTCATATGTGTAAGTTTGGAGATACATTCCGTCTTTTCCATGCTCTGCAAAACAGATGGGGAGCATTGTTCGTAATGGTGCCTTCATTTATGATCTTTAGATTTTCCATTGCCCAGTTGGCCTTAGCTCTTTATGGAACATGTGGTCGGTTTCAGTGGTTTCTGGATTTTCCATTCTTTTGTGTTTTTTCCATTTCCCTTAGCTTCTCCTCTTAGTTAGAGTTAATGGTGGAAAAAGAATGTTACATCTAAATCATCCTGCTTGCTTGGTCCTAGCTGGATGGAGCAGAGGCCCAGACTTCTTACTCGTAAGATTTGGGCCCATTTGGTGGAACACAAGTAAGTGTCTGCCCTTACTGTGCCTGGGTGACAGAGACACAGGCAGTCTACAAAAGCGGGCCCAGAGCTCACTCACATTTAGTTTTTACATACCAGTGTTTGTCTTGTATTAGATAGTTCAGAACCCAAAGTCGTTGGCTTCCCTAAAAACTTATAGCTTAATCTAAACAAAATAAACTGAAAATTAACCAAGGCAAAAATAGTAGGAGAAAGCATCCCAGCAGCAGTCTGGTGGCAGAGCTCAGGCTTTAGAGCCGGACAGATGTGAGATCGGTTCCACCTTCTCCACGCACTTCCTGCATGAGCCACAGCCTGACTCTCCTCATCCATAAATGGGAGTGCTGACTGTGCTCCGGTCCTGAGTTTGGGGGAGGATTAAATGAGGTAATGTGTACAAGGAGCTTAGCATAACATCTGACATACTGTAAGTGCTGCATAAGTGTCAGTTGTCATTATCGTGCCAGAAAATTCTAGAAAAGTCACGAAAGAGACATGTTTATTTATTTATTTTTTAAAGTTTATTTTTATTTTTGAGACAGAGACAGAGCATGAACGGGGAAGGGCCAGAGAGAGAGGGAGACACAGAATCTGAAACAGGCTCCAGGCTCTGAGCCATCAGCCCAGAGCCCGACGCGGGGCTCGAACTCATGGACCGCGAGATCGTGACCAGCTGAAGTCGGCCGCTTAACCGACTGAGCCACCCAGGCACCCCTAATGTTTATTTTAAATGTACCCTTCTCTGGGGCACCTGGGTGGCTCAGTCAGGGAAGCATCCAACCCTTGATTTTGGCTTGGGTCACGGTCTCATGGTTTGTGAGATTAAGCCCTGCTCTGGGCTCCACACTGAGCCCAGCCTGGAGCCTGCTTGGGATCCTTTCTCCCTCTCTCTCTGCCCCTGCTCGCACACACATGTGCACGTCTTCTCACTCTCTCAGAAACAAAGAATGTACTCTTCTCTGGAAAAGGAAAGCACAAAAATTGTTAACTCGGTGCTTCTTACTGCGAAAACAGTCATTGTTAACTTGAGGTAAAGTCCTCCTGGCCCTTATGTCGGTGTGATTCAAGTCCTCCTTTCTTTTTTAATTGTTTCCACGTATGAAGCGAACTTAGCCTGATTCACATTTAGGATAGCAGCAGAGAAATTGTGTGCAGTAGTCCAGGATAAAAGAAGTAAAAAGTGATTTTCTAGTCTTCCCGCATAGTGTGGTTACTCCTCCAGTAAGCTTCTGTTCAGTATATTTTTTTTTTTTTTTAATTTTTTTTTCAACGTTTATTTATTTTTTGGGACAGAGAGAGACAGAGCATGAACGGGGGAGGGGCAGAGAGAGAGGGAGACACAGAATCGGAAACAGGCTCCAGGCTCTGAGCCATCAGCCCAGAGCCCGACGTGGGGCTCGAACTCCCGGACCGCGAGATCGTGACCTGGCTGAAGTCGGACACTTAACCGACTGCGCCACCCAGGCGCCCCTGTTCAGGATATTTTTAAAATGCCTTAAATGGACCAAGTGGCTTTTTGTTGTTGCTTAAAGTTGTGATTTTCTTTTGGTGAGACACCAGGCAAATGAGCTTGTAGAGACACGTGAGAAGTTTACCGATTGCTACCAGCAATGCTTTCTTCCTTAAGCTGAATGGTGGCCCACAAAGGTAGCATGTCCTAATCCTGCAACCCATAAATGTTTCTCTGTATGGCACGAAATATGATTAATTAAGGATCTTGAGATGGGAAGATTATTTGCATTATCTGGGTTGACCCTAAGTGCAGTCACAGGTATTTGCTTTTTTAATTAAAAAAAAAAATTTTTTTTAATGTTTATTTTTGAGAGAGAGAGAGAGAGAGAGAGACAGAACACAAGTGGGGGAGGGGCAGAGAGAGAAGGAGACACAGAATGTGAAACAGGCTCCAGGTTCTGAGCTGGCAGCACAGAGCCCAAGGTGGGGCCCGTACCCACGAACCGTAAGATCATGATCTGAGCCGAAGTCAGATGCTTAACCAGATGAGCCACCCAAGCGCCCCAGTCACAGGTATTCTTAAAGACGGAGCGCCACCACAGAAAGAGGGAAGGCAGTGTGAGTGGGGAGGCAGGGCTGGAGGGACATACGCAGCCACTAGAAGCCGGAGGAGGCATGTGGCAGATGGATTCTCCTCTAGAGCCTCTGCGGGGGGTGCGGCCCTGCAGACACCTTGATTTTGGCCCAGTGAAACTGGTGTTAGACTTCCAGCCTTCAGAAGTTCGAAAGGAAACATTTCTGTGATTTCTAACCGCTAAGTTTGTCTGGTAGAGTAGCCTTGGGAACGGGCACACTCTGGCCACACCCAAATGAGGATCCAACTTCATTTTTCCCATCAAGTGTTTCTTATTATTGGGGATTCCTCTTAGTAACATTTTGGGTGGTTCTTCTCAGCCGAGAATCCCACTGCATTCCGCTGAGGGAAGACAAGACAGGACATATCCTATACTCCCAGAGAACAGTTCTGTTGGGGAGAGACAAACACACGGCGTAGCAGGGCCTGCAGTTAGCGCCAACCATTCATTCCTTCATTCGCGCAGCAAATACTTACTGAGTTCCTGCGATGTGCCAGGCGGTATTCTGGCGCTGCAGATATGTAAACAGATGGATTCTCTCCTGGGCAGCTTTTCATTCTAGTGAGGGAAGCCATCTTCAAGTGGCAAGTGAACACAGCATGCGGATAGCGGTAAGATACCGAGGGGAGTAGTTAGACAGGGAAATGGGGGGAGGGGTTGGGGGTGTGTGCCACGTAACATAGAGCGGTCCAGGGAAGACCTCTGGCATAATGAACGTGCCCTTTGTCAGAGATCTGGAGGGAGGAGGCCATGCAGCCGTGGGAGGGGGGTGTCGGCAGGGGCAGCACCCTTGAGGAAGAGTGTGACTGGCGTATCTTTGTGGAAAATAAAGCCGCCATCGCCAGAGTGGATGGAGCAGGTGTGGAGGAGAGGGGAAGAGATGGGAGGGAGGGGGGTGCATGGTGAAGGGGCAGATCGTGTTGGGCCTCACAGGCCTTTGTGCAGTCTTTGGCTTTTAATTTGAGGCAGGAAGCCAGCACAGGGGTTTTGAGCCATGGAGTTAGTTAAATGATCCAACTTGGATTTTGAAAGGGTCACTCTGCCACATGGAGCCAGGAGGCAAAGGGGCAGTGAAGAGGGGAGGTGGGGTGGGGGGCTCCTGAGGAGCCTCGGTGGAGGTTACAGTGTCTTGGGTCAGCCTCATGGAGCCGGTGGGGAGGGAGTGGATTCTGGATGAATTTTGAGCACAGACTCTATACTATTAGTGGTTCCGTGTGGGAAGTAAGAAAAAGCCAGAGCTCAGCGGTGACCCTTTTAAGCTGGGAAACTGGGAGATAAAGCTCCCTTTTACTGACCTGGGAAAGGCTGCCCGTGGAACACGCTTAGCGGGGAAGGCAGGCGTAGGTTTTGTGTGTCCACTTGAGACGCCTGTTAGACACACAAGTGGACAAGGCAGTTGGATGAAACAAATTAGCATTCGTGGGTGAGAACCTACCTGTCAGGGTAAAGGCTCTTGAGGTTATTGATTTGCTCTTATGCAGGACATGAGCTTAGCACTCAGTCCTCGCCCATGTGAGGCAGGTGCCGGGCTGGAGCTCAGGCCACACACGTCTGACGAGGGAAGAGGGGAGCCCAGCCTCCAGTACCGCCCTGTGTCCTGGTCTTCAGAGGGGCAGTAGCATGGCCAGAGAAACAGTCCGGCCTTGGCATGAGTTCACTTTTTCCGAGAAGCTTTCCTCTGGTCGGTAGATGCCCCTGCTCTGTATTTCTGTACTTTTCCCTTCCCGCTTGAGTAAAATCCCTGATTTGTCTTCCCCTACTGCACCATAATCTTCCTAAGAAAAAAAGCTATGTCTGTTTCTCAGAAGTCTTTTTTTTTTTAATTTAAAAAAAAAGATTCTTTTCTTTATTTTGAGCAGGGGAAGGGCAAGAGAGAGAGGCAGAGAAAGAATCCCAAGCAGGCTTCGCGTGGAGAGCGCAGAGCCCAATGCAGGGCTCGATCCCAGAAACTGTAAGTTCATGACCTGTGCTAAAATTGAGAGTCAGTCACTTAACTGACTGAGCCACCCAGGCGCCCCTCTCAAAACTCTTGTCGTTTTTTTGTTTTGTTTTGTTTTTAAGTTTGTTTCAAACTTCGAGAAAGCTTGAGTGGGGTAGGGGCAGAGAGAGAGGGAGAGAGTATTCCAAGCAGGCTCCACACTGTTAGCACAGAGCCCGACGTGGGGCTCTAACTCACGAACTGTGAGATCAAGAGTTAGGCGCGTAACCGACTGAGCCACCCAGGCGCCCCTCTCAAAACTCTTAACTTAGGACTGGTGCCCTCTAGTTGCTCAAAGTGTTAGATAGTATTATTTATGGGTTACTTTCTATGATTCTACCTCACACCATTTGAGATACTACTCATGTTCTTTTATCAGCACATTAAAAATCAGCACAGCGTCTGTTTGGCACTGTGGGGCATGCCTGCTAGATAATCGGGTAGATTCCCTTGTAAGTGTGGACGGAAGAATAGCTAATGTGTCCGACCAAAAGTCTAACAAAAGGAGGGGGAAATTAGGGAAGACTGGGGAGGTGGACAGGGCATTGTCTGAGATGGACAGGCAACAGAAAGCAATCAAGGGAGAATATTTCCAGCCACTTCCAAGCAAATGCTTCTGCCTCCACAGCCTTGGGCCGGATCGAGTCCTGCCTTAGAGCGAGGACTGTCGTCCTTTAACCTATTACATAGGTCCTTTAACAGTGGACCTATGTAATGCTTTTATCCATGTTTAAAAAGGAAGGACTTTGATCAAATGCAAACCATCTAATGTAATTAGCCAAGGAAAAAGCTTTCAGGACTTTCAAATGTTAACTGTTTTTCCCATCTAGGAAATGCTATAAAGCTCAAATTAGTTAGGAATGACTTACACATTTAGCTGCACAGCAGCTTAGACATGTGTGCATAACATACGAAACCTTCTACTAGTTCACATCCCCCTTGATCTGTTAGTTCTACTTCTAGGAATTTATCCTGTAGAAACAAAAATCCAAAAGTTTTATATCCAAGTATGTGGATTGTATCATGCTGTTGCTTGCCTTTGGGTTACATAGAAGCGAAAACCAAATGTCTAAGAGGGGATCGAGTAGGAAAATTCCAGTACACTCATACAGTGAAATACTATAAAGAATTGTGGAAGAATATGCAAATAATATATCAAATTGTTAGGTTAATAAAAGTAGTTTCAAAAAAAAAAAAAAAAGATTGTTAATGTGTTCACTTTGTATCAGAACAATGAATAATATTTGTTTTTTCTCTTTGGGTTTTTTTATATTTTAGAATTTTCTATTTTGTCACTAAACTTAGGGTAACAGTATTTCTTGTGTTCTTTTATAGCTATCTGAAGAGAAAGGAAAAAACTGATGAAAGTTGTGTATAGTCAGCATTTAACTTTAGGCTGTCTTACCTTGATAGCAGAACTTATGTAAATTTTTGTTGTCATATTACAAAATAGAATATATTCATTTCAGAAAATACAGCAAAAGGGCGCCTGGGTGGCTCAGTCGGTTAGGCATCTAACTCGTTGATTTCGGCTCACGTCATGATCTCACGGTTTGTGGGTTCAAGCCCCACGTCGGGCTTTGCACTGTTAGCTTGGGATTCTCTCTCTCCCTGTCTCCTGCCCCTCACCCCACTGCCTTTCGCTTGCTCACTTGTTCTCTCTCTCAAAAATAAATAAACTTAAAAAAAAAAAAACTGCTACACACGCATGTATATATCCAAACTGTATAAATAGATTTGATTTTTTAATGTTTTTTTTAAGTTTGTTTGAGAGAGAAACTGCGAGTGGGTGAGGGGCCGAGAGAGAGGGTGAGAGAATCCCACGCAGGCTCCATTCTGTCAGCTCGGAGCCCAACACGGGGCTTGAACTCACGAACTGTGAGATCATGACCTGAGCTGAAATCTAGAGTCACATGCTTAACCGACTGAACCACCCAAGTGCCCCTACGTGTAACTTAAAATAGAGGTTGGCAGGGGCACCTGGGTGGCTCAGTCGGTTGAGCGTCCGACTTCGGCTGAGGTCATGATCTCACGGTTCGTGGGTTTGAGCCCTGCGTTGGGCTCTGTGCCGACAGCTCAGAGCCTGGAGCCCGATTCTGATTCTGTGTCTCCCACTCTGTCTGCCCCTTCCCCACTCATGCTCTGTCTCTCTGTCTCAGAAATAAATAAACATTAAAAAAATTTTTTTTTAAATAAATAAAAAATAAAATAGAGGTTGGCAGACTTTTTCTGTAGGGGGTGGCAGGTGCTTTAGGTTTTGTGGGCTCCATACTGTTTCTGCTGAATATTTTTCTCCTCCTGCCTTCCTTCCTTCCTTCCTTCCTTCCTTCCTTCCTTCCTTCCTTTCTAGCCTTTCAAAATGTGAGAACTATTCTTAACTTACAGATCATAAAAAGACAAGTCAAAGACAGGCTGTAGTTTGCCAACCCTGATTTAAAGTACGTAATACATTGATTTTAAAACACCTGAGAGGAAAGATAAAAAATAAAAAGCCACTCGAGAGAAGAAGAGCATGATGCCACTTATACAAAGTATAATTTAGCAACAGTGAAATAAATGACTAATATATAATTAGAAACACAGCCCTAACGCGAATGTTGCCCAGATTTGCTGTTGGGCAGAACTTTATTTGGACGACGGTAGAAATAGTCCCTGGGGTGTCTGGGTGACCCGGTCGGTCAAGTGTCTGACTTCGACTCAGGTCACGATCCCACGGTTTGTGAGTTCAGGCCCTGCATCGGGCTCTGTGCTGACAGCTCAGAGCCTGGAGCCTGCTTCAGATTCTGTGTCTCCCTCTCTCTCTCTGCCCCTCCCCCGCTCACACTCTTGTCTCTCTCTCTCTCTCAAAAATAAACGTTAAAAAAAAAAATTAAAAAAAAAAAAAAAGTAGTCCCTAAGTAGAGTTGCTGAGAATGGGTCATTGGAAACGTTTTAAAACGATATTACAGTTTCTCTTCTTTCATTGCCCTCGAATAAGACTTTACTGAAGAATAATGTTGTAGAACCTAAGGAATGGTTGCTATACGTCATTGAAATTAATTTCTATCAGTGAAGTCGATTGTGTGCGTTCCATCTCCGTGCTACACGGCCAGTTTAACGAAAGTGTCCTATAGTGAATGACATGCTATGTCTTTTCCATGCAATGAATGAAAGAACCTGTGAATTTCTTTTCTAGATCTGCTCAGTGAAGGAGCGTCATGCCAGCGAAATGAGGGACTTACCGAGTCGCTATGTTGAAATAGGTATGCCTTCCGCGAGTATAACATGTCAAAAGAGTCCATTTTAGTAAAGGGAAACCTAAAATCGTGTTCGCCTTTGGGGCTCGTCCCTTGGCACCTTAGTGAAGTAGGTGGAGAGGCTTTTAAGTTTTGAAAATTTGCTATAGTATTTTTTTTTTCTGTCTGTATTTCTACTTTTTAGATGGTACTTATGTAGTTGGCTTTGAAGTTGAATAACCATGGGTTCAGGTTCTGGTTCTGTTGTTTCCCACCTGGACTCTGGACAGATCCCTACATGCCTCTGCATTCTCATCTATAAAATGTGAGAAAGAACCCCTGCCCCACGGGTGTCGTTGAGAATTCAGAAAGAATTCACGCACGCGCAGCCCATAGCATGGTCCTGACACCTGGTCCTGCCCACAATGTACCCTCAGAATACTCCCCTTCATCGTCCCCTGACTGGACCGGGCTGCTGTGATCTTTTCTCTGGATCGCTGCCACAGCCTCCTGACTGGTTTTTCTCCTGCCACCGTGAATTGCGGGGATCTAGCCTCCCCACCGCAGTCAGCATACAAAGCAGATTGTGTCACCACCCTTCAGCCCATTCCCATGTTTGTGGCACAGAGAGGAGACGCGTGGGACTTGTGTTGGCCCTCACCTGCGCCTCCAGCTTTAGCTCACAGCAAGTTTCTCTAACGTCTCTGCACCGCGGCCACACTGGCCACCTTTCACCCATCCATGCTCCTTCTTCAGGTCTCTCTAGAAAGCTCTTCTTGCCTGTTTGCGCTTCCTTGACCCTTAATCATTCTTCAGCTCAAGGATTGCTTGAGAAAGCCCGCTGCACCTTGCTAACTGGGTCAGCCCCTCTCCTTTCTCACGCCTGTTTCACTTGCAGTGATTGTGCGATTGTTCAGCGCGGGTCTGTCTATTCCAGCAGACTGTAACCTCCCTGAGGGCTCGCACTGCATCTGCTTTGGCTCAGTGTTTGTGTCTCAGGGGCCCGGCACAGTGCAGGTACTAAGTAATGCCGCGTACTGAACGAATAGGTGACTCAGGGACAGCTATTCAGGAGAAGTATGCCGAGAATGACACAGTACTACGTCCGCATCTTGGTTTTAGAACTCAGTGTAAAAGTTATTTGGACACAAGGGATAAAAATAGAGTGACTTTTGCCGATTGAATAGATATAGTGAGAGCTGTTTGGGATTATTCAGAACCAAGCAGAAGGAGACCAAGTTATGTGCCGAAGCTGTTTTGCCATCTTAGAAATCAGCTGAAGAGCTCATTTCCCTATTTGGATGGGAGGCGGGGAATATCAGTTTGAGTGGTTCTTACAACAAGGTGAAGCCGAGACAAATAATCTGCACACGACTGTATTTCTGGAAACAGAAAGGTGTGTGGTACCTCCATGGCTAACATAGTCCTAGCTTTTAAATCTGGGGTGTTTTGTACTTGAAGACAGGAGTGGGTTGGGTGACAGGGTTTCAATAACTTTCTGCCTTAGACGGAGAAATAAATCCACAGTTCGGATTGCGCAGAGGATGGACAATAAGCATGTGTAGAATATGATGGTACCAAGAAAAGCCAAGGAACGAGGAGCTAGAGAAAACTGAAAACTACAAGGTCAGGGTCATTATTTCTGTGTCTCCATCTTCTTTCCTGCTTCCCAGCCAAAACCTCTGAACATCTCAATGCATAGTGTCCTGAGAGAGAAGTATTCAATGTTTTAAATACAGATGAGTGGCGGGGGATGGGGGTTGGGGTAGCGAAAACCATGGGAGTTTTTAAGGATGGAGGAATTGCCAGGAAGACACAAAAGCGTAGCAACTGTCTTCTCTCCTTAGCTGGTGCTGATCACTCACACGAGCGGTGCGGGTCAGTCCCCCGTGTGGTTCACCTCACCGTCATGGCAGCCCCCTGTGGGGCAACTGGTCTGCTCCTCAGTCTTGTTCACAAAGACAGTTGGGGCTCAGGGACGTAGCTATCTTGTCTAAGATCTTACTACAGTGGCGTTAGACATGGACAGACTCTAGGGGCGCCTGGGTGGCTCAGTCGGTTAAGCACCCGACTTCAGCTCAGGGCGTGGTCTCATGGCTTGTGGGTTCGAGCCCCACGTCGGGCTCTGTGCCAACAGCTCAGAGCCTGGAGCCTGCTTCGGATTCTGTTTCTCTCTCTGTCTGCCCCTCCCTGCTCATGCTCTGTCTCTATCTCTCAAAACTAAACATTAAAAAAATTTTAAAAAAAGAAATGGACAGACTCTGGCTGCAGAGCCACCGGCAGCTTCCAGGAAGGCAAGGCGGTTTGCCGAATTCCTGTGTGATCTTGATGAGCCTTCCTGAGCCAAGCTTTCCATACCTGTAAAGTGGAGCTGATAGTACCTACCTTCGCAGGCGGTTGTGAGAATTAGACATTAAGTAATGTCTTGATCTCGGTGCTTGGCATACAGTAGGTGCTCACTGAATCATGGTGGTGATTATCACTGTGCAGACTTCCATCCCAGCTCTGTGACTGCTAATGGCTGGCCCAGTGGTGGCCCCGGAGCCCTGGGATCATGTTATTAAAGTATAGTTCATCTGGACTACAATTTATGTGCAATAGACCGTGTGTGGGTGCTGGCAATATCACATTACTGACGTTTTACTACTGTGGTTAGTGGTTAAGTACCATTTTTTCCCCTCTTGAGAGCAAACCTTTAAGAATATAAACCATTTCCACAGCAGGAGGCAAAGTGGTTGAGATAAGAGTCCTTGACGAGGATAAAGGAAAAGAGAAATATTAGGAGGTCTGGATTACAATTTGCTTTAGCCCTGAACAGTGTGAGCCACACTGTTCTTTAGTAAATGAGGTGAAAATGGCATTGAGGTTAAAGAACTATCGGTGCTGTACATTTCTTAGAAGCCAAATGTTTGTAGCTCTTCCCTATAAATCAGAATCTCAAGAACAACACAAAAAAGGTTTTGCTCTTTA